TTTGGACAGTTTACCAATGCTTATACACTGATAAACAACATTTATTCAACTTCCATCATTATACAACATATCTGACAGTTAACAAACAACACAACAAATACTTTTTTTGTAACTAATTTTATATAATATTAGAAATGTATTAACAGTATTAAACTTGAATTTAACAGTTTAATGTATGAAATAAACACTAAATATAGATTATAGATTTGCGAAATGTATTTCAAGCTTTTTACGTGAAAAACAGATGGTTTCTTTAAATAAGCAGTAATTTTATGATTATTTAGAGGTTCCAACTTTTCACATTATTTTATATTAGACATGTACATTCACAGGATATTTATGTAATTTTATTAATATTTCTATGTATTTAAAAAATACAGTAAAAACCTGTAAACGTACAGATTGTTTTACAGTGTAAGAGAAACAGAAGGATTTCTATAAAGAAATCTGCTTTTCAACCAAATTCTCAAAATTATTTTTAAAAGTGAATTTACTGTAAAGTCCGATTCTTAAATATTCATAATGTGACACTGAAGGTCTCTGATTAGCTCCGCCTCCAGTTGATGTAGCACACTGGTGTTGTTTGTGGTGAAACCCAACTCTCTCCTCCTCCTCAGCCCTTCGATGACCCGTCCTGTCCCGTGTCCTCGTGGACAACTCAGCAGGTCTGTCAGTGGCTCAAAGGACAGAACATGGAGCAATATGTCCCAGAATTCAGTGCGAGAGACATCGATGGACGGGAGCTGCTGCAGCTGGACGGCAACAAGCTGAAGGTTGTATGGAAGACTATCAGTGCCAGTTAGGAATGAAAAATAAATATTTCTATCATGAAACAATACGTCAAACTTTTTTACTTTTACTTATTTAATACTTGTGACGTAGAAATTTTTAGTTACCGTATTTTAATTAACTATAAAATATAACTTTTTATCATCACATCAGTTTCTTCAGTTTCTTTGTCTTTCGAGCAGTAATGGGCTTCCACATTAATGGGACTACAAAGAAGAAGTTTGGCTTCACAAATCTGTTTTATTTCCTTAATATTTGTGTCTAAACTTTACTTTTTTGTAAAGTTTTAATAGTTTTATCTCTTTTAGCATCAAGTAACCTAAAAAATCACACAACACAACACACAGAAGTTGTCCTAAAACCAAACTGACGCTGGCTGTCGCCTGCAGTGTTTACGGTTTAACCATAACTGTGTCCTCTGTCTCTGCCCTCTGACCCCGCCCTCTGCAGGGTCTGGGCGTGCTCAGTTCGTCTGATCGCAGCACTCTGAAGCGTCGCATTAAAGAGATTCAAACTGCAGCAGAGAAAGAGAGAAAAGCTCTGGATAAGATGGAGAAACAGAAAGAAAAACAACGAAGAAAAGACCAAGAACAACGCAGGAACTGACCACCAGGGAGAGACAGAGAGGGGGGACGGAGGACAGCGAGGGGGAGGACGGAGGCCAACGAGGGGGAGGACAGTGGACAACGAGGGGGGAGGACAGTGGACAACGAGGGGGGAGGACGGAGACAACAAGGGGGGAGGACGGAGACAACGAGGGGGGAGGACGGAAAACAGCAAGGGGGGATGACGGGTCATCGAAGAGCTGAGGGGGAGGACAGAGGACAACAAGGGGGGAGGACGGAGGACAGCGACATTTTGTTGTATTTCAGACAGTTGCTACGGTGACCCTGAAGGATCTATTTTAAATTCTCTCTTCAGTTTTTTCTGCTGCATTTTGGTTCATTTCAACAAAATCTGACTAAAATGATTTATTGTAAATAAGAACATTGAAAGAAAAATCACTGAAAACAAAAAATATTAAATCTATAATTTTTTTTTATCACTGAATAAAAACTAAATGAGAGAATGACAATTCACAAGACAATTTGATGTATTTTGCTCTTGTATGTGTTTTGCCCTTTCAGGCCACCGTAGTTTAAAGGACACATCTCCTGTGGTGCTTCGCTACTCACAATCCATTGCACAGCAGGTGCTCTGCAATCTGACTTCAGACTACTTCAAACTTTAGTGTTACATCAGGCTTTTCTTTGCCTCCATAAAAGCACCTGAACACATCATCTAACAGTGAACTCTGATGTGACATCGTCTGGTTTGAGGAGCAGGTTCAGCGTTAAGCCCCGCCTCTTATGCAGGAGTCTCTGACCACGCCCCCTCTCCATATGTGGGCGGGGCTTGAAAAATAAAGAACTGGAACGAACACGAGCTGTTTTAAAGACATTAATTTATCTGATCGTTTGCAGCACGACGACATGTTTTACTGTAGAACAAGGAGCATCGACTGCTGACTGACCTCTGACCCTGTGACCTCTG